CTGCGATTCCACCATTTGCACCTCGATCAACTAGAGCTAAATTCTTGCGAGTGCTAACACGTAGAACCGAGTAGGTAATAGTGGTTGCACATGCTTTGTACCGTACTCCATCTATGACGATCTCGTGATTCTTAGCTTCTTGTTTGCCTTTGCGATGCTTCGTTGCAGGAACCAAAGCTAACTTGTCTGACATGACACGTTGTAGCTCCCCAGGTTGTAGGGAAGATTGCTTGGTGACATGAGCTAGAAGTTTGTCAGGTGCGGGCTCTTCATTTGTTTCAGAAGTCAGAGTACCTACATCACTCCCCATGGTCGAATGCTGAAACTGAGAAAGGAAATCAGCGGCCGACATATCATGCAAGGGGGTGGTGGTGGCGGCAAAGGTTTGTTGGAACCACCAAGTATGACAGCTTTAGCAGCTTCAGGAAGTTGATGCCAGGCACGTTGACCTTGATCATCTAATTGTTGCCACAGTTTGTTAGGTAGAAAGGTCTTGCGAGCAGATGACAAAGAGGTGCGGTAAGCATAGTAGTTGCCAAGGTCCATGTCAATGTTGAAGTCAAACATGGGAGGGCCAGGATCCGGTTCAAGATCACCAGTGGTGACAACATCAGTAGCATCGTAAGTCTTATCGTATTGTCTAACAATCTTCTTGCCTTGATCGGTGAGGAGGGTCCGGACAAACACCTGATACAAGAAGGATTGGTGTCTGTCGAAGAGGTCTCGCTCATCAAGGCTGGTGGGCTGGTACTTGGGGTCAAGGACCTGTTTCAATCCGTGAGTGCGACAAGTAGCTTCTAGATTACGACGGTAACTATCCCATTGCTTATCATCAGACAAAGTTGGATAGAGGTTGGCATCTAGTTTAATGCCCCGATCAAATTCCTCAGCTGGTGATCGTCTGGATGGCTTGGAGACAAGAGGCTGTGGGATGGTGCGGCTGTGGAACACGATGAATGCGCTGGAGGCCCTGTATGTATCAAAATCATCAGGGTCAATGGGGATACAGTTAGACAGGGTGACTGGATCCTTGAGCACAGTTTCTTGGTGGTAGACATAGCCACGGATCCCATGGAGATATGCCTTAAGAGGTTTCGACACATCCCGAAGTACATCAGGTTGTGGGTCACCGTTAGCATCACGTGGCTGACTGACAGGATACTGTAGTCCGTCAATATCAGCAACTCAACAACAAACCGCAACCCGTCTCGAGTCCTACAACCTGGACATCTTGAAACAAGTCTCGTGTACATCCTGGAAACTGTCTTAGGCTGCAGTGCTGGCAGCATCCTCCATCTCACACTTGACTTATACAGTTGCAAATGTTACCTCGACCTTGTTGGCATGGATGAAAAGTTGGTGTCTGCATGTCACACCGACATCAATTGTTTTTCCAAAGTTTCAACGCACGCACAAAACGCGAAAAACACTAAGGCCCTTTCCAAATGGACGAATTTCACGTATTTTCCGTGTATTTGAATCGATGTACAACGTCTGTTTTCAACGGATTTTATACGTCGAATTTTTTCAAATCCAATTGGAATGACCATTGATTTTTCATTGTATTAGACAAATCCCTTAAGTAAAATACTCCGATTTCAATCGTTTTTGCGCCATTTGGAATTTTTCGTGCATTCGAATCTGGGAACATCAATCATCAATAATCATCCTCTGGTCGTCATATTTCAAATCAACCCGATCTGTCTACCATGGAACTGACACAATGGGAAACATGTGAGGATATCTACCCTCTGCCAAAAGAGATTGCAGAAGCTCTACAGGATGCGAAAGGAAAAGCAAGGCGCTCAATGGCTGGCCAATTGTTCTCTGCAAAATATTGTGGCAAAGGAAACTTGAAGGTGGCCAAAATCCAAACCAAAAATGTATCGAAAACATCATAGAGTTGGGAGGAAGAGACCCTGAATAGCGGTACAAAGTCCAGATATGATCCACCTGCAAGCATCCTCAGATCAATTGCAACTCGTATTTCCCCTGAAACAGGAGCAACTGCTTGTTCTCTTGGCTCCTGACTCCCATAAATTTGTTCGCGACGCTGAGAAAGAAATGACTTGGAACGAAACATTTCTGGTCCAATTTCATTGCAAATCGTTGCACATAGTGTGGCAAACATACTCTGGGTCATGCGAAACATCTTTCGGAAGTGGGATGCAGATATTGTAGCTGCAAACTGGTCAAAAGTGGGCCGTAGGAGGTAGATTGGGAGGGATCTGTTCATGCGATGTTGTTCCATAATATGAGTCTGAAGTAGACTTTCCCTGTTTTTCCTGCTCAGGGATTGCACACTTTCTAAGATGCAGACAGAAAAAAGCAAAAGTAGAAGCTGCCTACCATCAAGAGGGGTTCTACTATCATTATTCATTGCTGCGATTCAATTATGAACGGTGATGAATGATTGACAAATGACGACAAGAAATCTTGGAATCTTGAGAAATTTGTATAGGGGCGTTCTGAGTTTTGATTGGCTATACGTCGAATATACAATAAATTAATTACCTCGCAATTTGCCCGCAATTAATTCGATATAGGTTTCTGAATCAATCGACGTATAAAACGGTTGAAGAGCAGACAAAATACGTCGAATCTCATACATCGAATTTTGGTCATTTGGAATGGGCCTAACTCCTCGCGTGTTCCAGGAAACGGTTCTTCTCTCCCAGAACTTGAAAGCCCTAAATCTGTACTTTCATTCACCATTACCACCTACTAAAACTTCGCTTTTGCTTCATGTCCCATAAACCAGTTTGCAACAATGGTAGGTATCTCAAGATCTACAGTACTCGATCATTCTTCCCTCTCTTGTTTTCTAACTCAGTTGTGTTATTTCAGCCTTTCGTCAAAGTCCAAAAGAGCAAAGCCTACTTTTCCAGGTACCAAGTCAAGTTCCGTCGCCGTCGTGAGGGAAAGACTGACTATCGCCAGAGAAAGCGCTTGTGTGCCCAAGACAAAAGCAAGTACCAATCCCCCAAGTACCGCCTTGTCGTCCGTTTCACAAACACCAAGGTCATCTGCCAAATCGCATACGCCCTTGTCGATGGAGACAGAATTCTTTGTCAAGCTAGCTCTACTGAACTTCCTCGCTATGGTTTGAGCGTTGGTTTGAAGAACTACGCCGCCGCATACTGCACTGGTCTTTTGGTTGCCCGCCGTCTTTTGCAAAAGGTTGGACTCGATGACGTGTACGAAGGAAACACCGAGATTGATGGAGAAGTCGTTTCTACTGAATACGACAAAAAGACTTACTTCGTCGATGAAGTTGACGATGACAAGCGTCCATTCCGTGCTCTTCTTGACGTCGGTTGCAAGGCTACCACTACCGGAAACAGAATTTTCGGAGCACTGAAGGGTGCCGCTGATGGAGGTCTTGATATCCCACACAATGAGAAGCGATTCCCAGGCTACGACAGAGACGGAAAGGAATACGATGCTGACATGCACCGTGAACGCATTTTCGGTGGTCACGTTGGTGAATACATGGAATACCTCGAGGAGGAAGATAACCAAAAATACCAAGAGCACTTTGCTGCCTACATCGCCAATGATGTCGAGGCTGATGGTCTTGAGGAACTATACGAATCTGTACACGAGAAGATCCGAGGGGACCCTTCGGCTTCTGAGAAGAAGGACTTCACTCCTGACAAAAGCTTCAAGCGCAAGGCCAAACTTTCCTATGACGAACGCAAGGCTCGTGTTCAGGAGAAGAAAGATGCGAAGAATGCCGAAATGGAAGAAGACGACGAGTAAATACTTAGGGCATGTTAAAAAATCTTGATCGTTGTGCTTATCTGCTGAAGCGCTGTAGAAGTGGAACAAGAGGAGTGTTTACAGTGCAGTCTTTTGTTGTTGGTGAAACAGTAATTAATTGGTAGCATGCTCCACATCACTCATTTCTTCATTGTCCGTCATTGAATTAGAGGGTGAACCTTCAACTCGATCATTATTTGTTGAATCTGAGAAAACGATGAATCGGGCAACTCTATACAACAGCCCTTTTGTCTTTCGTTGGCTCTTCCTCATGGTCTGTACCTTTTCCCAAATGGCCCCTTCGGCGATAAGTGTCTCACGACAAACTGGGCATTCCTGTTGTCATTATTCTTTCGGTTAGAATCATATTGTCCCTTGCAATAAATCGATCTTCTGAGTTACGTACCGAATTATTACGACGCTCTAACCAATCCATGAGGCATGCTTTATGGAATTGATGGCCGCATTTTGTAGTAATGACTACGTGGTCATTCTCTATTTACCACAAAACAAAAAAATGTAAGAGGAAATGTAAGAGGAAATTTTCCAAAGCGCTGGAGTAAAGGAATATGCAACCCACCATATCCTGATAAACATATGGAGCAAAGTGTCTCATTCCCATCTACTATATGTACCTCCCCAGATTTTTCACTGCACTCCACAACATCTGTGACCACATCTTTGGGGGTTGTTGAAGTCTTGAGGATAACTTCCAAAGCAGCCCTACGCTCTATTCGAGTTATGGTATGCTGCGGCGAATCACTTTCATTTCGAGTCATCCGAACTGCATATCTACGAGCGATGCAACCGAGGTCAAAATTAAAGAAACCGTTGCAGCACTTTAACTGGCCAAAGTTCTCGTCATCCAAATCCAATCGTCCCTGGGCCTGAAGTTTCAGCAATAGCAAGAGTATTACACTATAAATGATAGACACAAAGAGCCAAACTGCTGCGACCGCGAAGAACGCGACAACTAAGACATCGATACCATCCCACATTGAAATTTGTTCGTATCCAACTTTATCGTTATCTTCGATGCCGCTTGTTGATACGTCACCAGACGATCCCTGATCACCATGGTGGTGATCTCCCATGCCAGCTGCTGTCAAGTCAGACGCTCTGACCACAGCTGAGTTGTTTTTTGCGAAGAGGCAGAAAACGCTAAGGGAGTGAAGAACAGCCTTTTGCATCGAGAGGAGTTGTTGAATAGAACAATAGTGTGCCGTAGTGACCCACAAATTTGTTTCGGTTTTCGATTGCAAATTTTTAAAATCGGACCGAATAACGGTGGTTTTGTTTTGGTCTGTCCGCACATCATTGAGTATACTCTCTATCCTACTGTGCGGTACCAGCAAGACGGGGTAATTTTCATAAATAGGGGCAAGGGGACAGACGGGGTGTCATCGCTTCTCAAGCGGGTTGCATGGACAAACAAATTGTTATAAAAAATAACGGTCATGTCACATGTCACCTGGATGAAATGTAAAAAGCTCGACCCGAATTTGGATACGATTCAAAGCGGCTACGCAGGCACTTGATCGGCAAGACGGGAGACGTATGGGCGTTTCTAGCTCTTCCTTAGTCTCAATTTCCGTCGTGTCGATTACGGCGCGTCGCTTCAGTGAAGTACACGGTTGGAGCGAAGAGCGTCGACGAAGAGGACGGAAGATTGGAGAAGACATTGTTCGCAATGGGAGCTTGTGGGATGATGGAGGCGATAGAAGGAGTTTAGCTGCTCGGTCAAGACCGTCAGCTTTTTTGCTTTTCCCGCCCTCACCACCCTCTCTCTCATTTGCACCATAGCTCGGTACCCCATTTGGTCCGGGTCTGTCTGTCAATCCTATTGATTGTCCTTTTCGAATCCTATGATTCGACCTCGGTGCAAACCAGTCACTAACTTAGTACCTCGCTACTGTGCCAACCCTACTCGCTTCTCGTATGTAGCATCAGGCTTTTGCCACAGTTTCCATGGTAGCATACGTGCGCGATCTCTCCAGACAAAGACTACATCATGCGATTTAAGCCCAGGAGTGGAGGCGGCGCCGGGTAATCTTCGATTATGCATCCTCGTCGCCCGGTGATGTGGAATCTGGAATCCACGAATGCACAATTCTATTTCTCCATGATGGAGAAAAAAAACTTTATTTCTCCATGATGGAGAAAAAAACTTTCTATTTCTCCATGATGGAGAAAAAAACTTTCTATTTCTCCATTCGGAAGTTGCAGCCAAAAGGTTCATCAGGGGAAAGAAAACATTGGGGGACCAACGGGTGGTTGCCAATATTTTTGCAGGATACAAACAAGCCTGCTCGCGATCAAATACAAGAGTTTGGTGCTATACTGTAGGAGCAGGGCGCCCCGACAACTACTTTCGCACAGCCACAAACAAAACTGTTTAGCGATGGAAGCTACAACAATCAACTAATAGTTACCTTGAAGGTGCTACTGATTCGTGATGGAGTATGAAGGCAGTGTGCGAGCCCAAGGTGGAAGAAGACTTTTTCCGAAATGTCAATTCTCATTATGATTGATTACGTTTGGGGAAGACTTGGGGGTGTCGTTTCTCCACCGGAAGCTGTTTTCTCCACCGTGGAGAAAAAAAAATCTATTTCTCCACCGTGGAGAAAAAATAATTATATTTCTCCACCGGAAGCTAATATGGCAACAAAGGTTTCACACTGGCGATCATTCATCCGTTGACGATCGCTGGGTATACTGGCGGGCGTGTTTTCGCGAGGTCTATTTTGGCAAATAGCATAGCGAGAACTTAACGGCTGGACGAGCATTCCAAGCGGGAATCGACTAGAGATCCCGCTCACAGAAGTAGCCCCGTCCGTCCGGCTATCACAAATATCTGAAAATTACCCCGTCTTGCAGGTACCGGTACATTTGGAATTTAAAACAAACGCAGAATCGGCAAGTGCAAAGGATCAATGAAAAAATCGACTTTTCGGATAATTCTTCTTCCACGCAACAATATGTATAATTGTCCGTGGCGTAGGCTATTCGTTTTTTATACTATTGCTATATCCCAGTAACCCAACCTTCTAACCGAAGAGTCTTATTGAAAATTATAGATGACTATGGAAAGGCACAGAAAGTGCTTATGTAAGACCTAAGCTCTAATATAGTCCCCAACCGAAGGAGCTTCTAGAGTCCCAATACCTTGGGCCTGTTCTATGGGCCGTTTCACTCTTCCCCTCTATGATCAAAGCTTGCTGGATCATATGATATCGTATTGAAATTCAGTCACAAAGGCGTCCTTACATCCACGTTTCATACGAGAGGTGGTTCTTGATGCAACACGCGATACAAAGTCATCGTATGTTAGACTCGACGAAACGGCACAAGACGCCGTATATTCAGTCTCTCAAAGACTTGATGATTTCTGCGAATTTCAACAGTTCCGTTAGTAAACACACGAGTGATTCGATACGGACCTTCCATCTTAGGATCCAATTTACTTGGATTGAAGTTCTTGATCAAAACTTCACCACCAACAATGTAATCAAACTCCTTTCGTTTTGCATTTTGTCTTGTCACTTTTCCTGTATAATCAAAAGATCGACAATCACAGGAATGTTGAGCAACATATCACAAGCAAATACGACTTCACCTGGGGTGTTGTTCTTCAAAGATTGAGAAACAGAACATCTCATGCCATGATTGCAGGCAGCAAGAGCATCGTCAACTGCTCGAGTCGCTGTCTGAATATTGGGAGCCATGTTGTTGTTGTTGAATCTTGTTCGTAGGATGTTGCCAACAGTCTGATGCATTCGTTCACAGATAGCATTAGCAGTTGGATTCTTGCTTGTTGCGAATGCATCATCAATTCCCCACTGCTGTAGTTTCAACTGAAAATCATGACCAATGAATTCTCCTCCTTGATCATGAATACACTTGAACGGTTTTGGGTATCAAGAAAGCCAGAGATTTTCAAACACATTTGTAACGTGTGCTGATGTTTTGTTCTCGATACGCGCATATATATAACTGAATCATTAATTGGTATTTATGCTACTTCTAGAGTATCCAACTGCCGGTGTAATACGGCTGTAGAGGCCAGGAACTAGGTTGCTTTTGGTCAACAAAGTTTGAACCACGTGGAG